GTCGCGCCCATACCGTGACCGGCAACGGGATCGCAACCGGCAACGGGATCGCAACCCTCGGTGTCGCGCCCATACCGTGACCGGCAACGGGATCGCAACCCTCGGTGTCGCGCCCGTACCACGCTCAACCAGTGAGCAGACCCGTCTCCATATGGGATCCGAACCCTCGGCGGGAGCGCCGCCGCACTCTACCGAGTGCGCCACCGGGCTGGCTCTTATTTCCTTTCTTGAAGTTTAGTTTTCATTCTGGCTTTCTCCCTGTATTTCTGTCCCCTACATGTGCCCAATCTTTATCTGTTTTAAGAAGCATGTCTTAGAAATTTGCCTCTTCTACATATAGCATGTAGAATTGTCAGATAACTTGGTAGATAGACAGAGTCAGCATATGGCTTGCTCAGGTTATTGGATCAGGTCTCTTAATGTTTTACATCTCATGGATCTCGAGATGAACTATATTTTTGTTATTTCCCCATTAAATTTTGTCCCAAATGATTATGGCAGAGTTTCTTGGTTTATACACTTTTTGTTTCTGGTCAACTGGTTAAGGCGGAGAACCAATGATAAAAACATTATCCCTGAGCACATTTAATTAATTTGTGCTTATCCCTCGATAATAATCTTGGTAAGTTTTTCATTGATATTAATTAGGTGGAACACAGACTGGCTGTAGTAAGCCAATATCTCTGTGCTGGAGGCAGTGTTGCACAATTGAAGACCAGTCAGCTTCTGGTCTGAATCCTGGGTCCAACATATCAGCAGTGTTATTTGGAGGTGTTGTCATGTAACCTCTCTAAGGTTTAGATTCCTTGTTTGTAAGATGGGACCTATAACACCAACTTCTTTGGCTATTAATGAGAATTAAACATGGTGGTGAGTATAAAGTATATAATAGAATGTCATACACATCGTTGACAATAATGTCTGTAGAAAGTGAGACATCTGCTTTCTTTTATCTTGGAGTTCTAGCAAAAATGAATAAACAAACCTACACATAGTCAAAGTATACAGGACACCCAAAAACACTAAAAAGTCTTGTATGTATCATGTTCTGAATTTAGGAAGACTGAGAATTTAAATTAAATATAGATATTACATATGAATAAAAATATAAAAGAAGGGTATATATGCTAAATTTTGTTTTGATACTTTAATTGCTTACTTTATGCCAGGTTCTAAGATAAGTACTGAGGATACAAAGTTAAGTAAATCATATCCCCATCCTCAAAGAGCTTATTTTTTTAGTAAATAGATACGGAAATAAATAATGTCTTGTTGTTCAGACTGTGGGTTGAGACCCATCAATGGGTTGTAAAATCACTTTAGTATGTAAAGACTAGGGGCCAGCCTGTGGCTCACTCGGGAGAGTGTGGTGCTGATAACACCAAGGCCACGGGTTC